TTTGTAATCCTTTAATTGAGTTGTAGGGAGGGAAGGAGGTGGCCGTGGCAACCATCATCAACGATGGTCCACACCACTACCTCGCTCAGCCCTAGCAAGCCCTCACCAAGGTTACATGACCCAAGCAAGGGTCTCGTGGGGCCAAATCTTGCCTCAGATAGCCAAGGCAAAGAGATGAGGTACATGTTTCAATCAAACTCAAGACTCTTTAAAAGGTGATTGATTCTAAGGTGGATAGACCTCAATTTTGAAATCTAGAACCAACCCTATTAGGATCATTTCCTAGTTTTGGAACTAAGATTCAATCCTATTGACCTCAAAACCAACCCTTGAATCGAACCTGTTGACCTAGGCCGATTTCAAGGTCTACCTAGGAATTAGTCGATTTTTTTTTTCTTTTTGGTGGTTTCCACTACAATTTGCAGGTGACAACAATTCTGGATGAGAATTATGGCTTGCACAATGATAACAAATTAATCATAATGAAGTTGTAAGTCCATAAGTATAGTTGGCATACTTATAACTTCAATTAATATCTCAAATTTATAAAAAAAACTATATAAGTATGATGAAGTCATAAGTATGCCACTATAATCACCAAACTTATTCCATGCTCCCCCTATCAAGGCCAATTCTTAGTTTTAACTGAGAATTGATCTTGTTGACCCTAGAATCGACCATTGAACCGAACCCGTTGGCTCGGGCCAATTTCAGGGTCAACTTGAGAATTAGCTGATTTTTTTTTTCTTTTTGATGGTTTTCACTAAAATCTGCAGCTGACAGAAACTCTGGATGAGAACTATAACTTGCACGTTGATAACAAATTAAACATAATGAAGTTATAAGTATATAAGTATAGTTGACATACTTAAAACTTCAATTAATATCTCAAATTTAGAAAAAAACTATATAAGTATGCCATTATAATGATTAGACTTATTCCATCCACCCTCTGCCAGGGCCAGTCTAGTTTTAGAACTAAGAACTGATCCTGTTGACCCTATAATCGACCATTGAATTGAACTTGTCGATCTAGGCTGGTTTCAGGGTCAACTTGGGAACCGGTTTTTTTTTTTGGTGGTTTCTACTACAATTTGTAGCTGACAACAACTTTAGATGAGAACTATGGCTCTCACGCTAATAACAAATTAAACATAATGAAGTTATAAGTATATAAGTATAGTTGGCATACTTAAAACTTTAATTGATATCTTGGATTTATAAAAACTATATAAGTATGATGAAGTTATAAGTATGCCAATATAATCATCAGACTTATTCCATCCACCCACTATCAAGGCCGATTCCCAGTTTTCGAATGGAGATTCAATCTCATTGACCCTAAAACCAACCCTCAAACCGAACTTGTCGATCCGAGCCGCTTTCAAGATCTACCCCAGAATCAGTCGATTTTTTTTTTCTTTTCGGTGGTTTCCACTACAATCTGCAGCTGACAGCAATTCTGGATGAGATCTATAGCTCGCACGTTGTTAACAAATTAAAAATAATGAAGTTATAAGTATATAAGTATAATTGGCATACTTAAAACTTCAATTGATATCTCAAATTTTGATTATGTCACTATAATCATTATACTTATTCTGTGCACCCCTCTCTTAAGACCGATTCCCAGTTTTGGAGTCGAGAACCAATCATGTTGACCTTAGGACTGATCCTCAAACCGAACCCACTGGTTCGGGCCAATTTCAAGGTCATCTAAAGAATTGGCAGATTTTTTTTTTTTTGGTGGTTTTCACTACAATCTGCAGCTAACGGTAACTCTGGATGAAACATATGACTCGCACACTAATAACAAATTAAACATAATGAAGTTATAAGTACATAAATATAGTTGGCATTAGGGGTGTCAGAACCGAACCGAGATACGAACTGAACCGAACCGAAAATTTCGTGCATTTCGATTCAATTTCGGTTTCGGTTCGGATCATCAAAATTAACCACTTTTTTTTTCGGTTCAGTTCGGATCAGTTCGGTTCGGATCAGTTCGGATCGAACCGAACTGAAATAAAGACTCTTTCTCTCGCCAAGACCATCCTCACGAGTCACGGCCCTCCACACTCTTCCTCTCGCCGCCGTCCCTGCTCTTCTTCTTCTTCCTCCCCATCGACTCGCTCGACTCGCTCGGCCATTGCCGCCGCCGCCCCCGCCGCCGCCCCCGCGGCCGCCGCCGCTGTTGCCGGTGACGACACTCATCTCTCTCGAACCCTAAACGCGGAAAACCCCCCAAATCATCAAACCCCACGAGGAGGCCCAGGAACCCCACCGCCCCCACTCCAATTCGGAACCGCGAGGATCACAACCGCCGGCCCTCGAGAGCGTCGAGCTTGTCGCCGCTGGCGCGGGGCACCCGGAGCGTCGCGCAGCCGACCACAGAGCAGTGAACCCAACCGAACCGAATCGAACCGGGGGAGGGAGAGCTGAGATCACGAGATCCAGATCACACCTCTCTCAAAGCAAGAAGCCTCCAACAATTTGTCCAACATTCGGCTCCTACAGGTCACCTCTCTCCCTCTCTCTCTCTGCTTCTCGATTTTCCTGCTGATTGTTTTCCCTCTGATGGGTGTAATTGCTCTTCCCTTTTTCGCTTTTGAATTCCGTTTGCCGCTGGTTGTCTTTGCATGATGATCGATGGGATCGGCGTGGATTTCTGTTTCTTGGCAAAGTGGGGGCCGTTCTTCTGTATGCATTTTCTCACTGTAGGGATTTGAGAGGCGCGGAGAAGGTGTTTGTCGAAATGGCCGAGAGGGACGTCATTTCGTGGAATACTGTTATTGGAGTCTTTTCGGTGAATGGTTTGTATGAGGAGGCGTTTGTGTTTTTCAACAACATGAATTCGAGGTCTGGTCAAGGTTGGGTTGGTTACAAATGTGACTGTTGGTAACGCTCTGGTGGATGCATATGCAAAGTGTGGGAATGCAGTGGCTTCGAGGCATTTCTTTGACGAGATGGTTGAGAAGAATGTAGTTTCGTGGAATGCGATCATAACGGGCTTTGCTTATGGGGAGCGCAATGTAGATGCTTTTGATCATAGATGTTTTTTATTAGATTTATTGCTTTATTAGGGGATTATGTACGCAATTTTCTGTCTTCTAGAATTTGATGACTAAGAGAAATTGCTGTTACAATGATTTTCTACATTTGATGGTTTCTCCCACAATACTTGGCAATGTACTGCATCTGATTTGATCCTTTGAATGCAAGGTGCATTGCTTCCCCCAACTTCTGAGGAAGGCTATTGTTGGGACTAACCCGCTAGTATGGCGCTAAAGAAATTTTAGATGTATGATAGAAACAAACTCTAGGATTTAACCCAACTGTACATCCTTATTTATCTCTTGTAAGCACATTGTTATATTCATCCTTGGTTTTTATTTGTGTCAGGTTTCCAAAGTTCTGCTTCTGCAAATGCTGGTGCTTCTGATGATAAAGATAGTGGTAAGAAAAATCTGAACTTTATTTGCAAATTCTCATAGAATATACAGAAATGTGCTAAATTGTCCCAGAGCATGGTAACAAGAGTTCTGATGCCGTACTTCGTTTGAGATGGCTTAGTTCATACAGAAATAACTCTTAGTCAAAATTTCGTAGAATTGTTAGTATTGTGAATGGTAATATCGGTTTATGTATATAAGTTTTATGTTCATCTTTGATGATAAAGCAGATATTTTGAGTATGCTTGATTAGTCTGATTAGGCCCATAGAGTCAGAAGCATACCCATATGAAGTAGAAACTAGACAATCTCCATCATACACGTGCACAAAAATTAAATGCGATTGATGTTGTTATTTCTTCTTGTCAACAGAAGATGAGTTGGAGCAGCCTAGCAGCCCATCTGTGAAAAAATCCGAGGAAAAGGGAATCGTGGTTGTCCATGAAGTTAAGTGCAAGCTTTATGTAAAGGTGAGTGTCTGCTTCAAGCGATTTGATATTGATTCATTACATGGAACCACCTCATTCTGGATCACCTTCTGTTCATGGTGCTTATTGATTGCTCATTTGTTCGTGTCTTTTTGGCTTTAGGCCTTGTCTTGGGATGGCTGTAGCCATTTATGACAAGTGTCTATTGAGATCAGTGTGATCATTTATTACTTGAATTGGCCTTGGCTTGTTCCCTCTATGACTTTGTGATTGATTAAAAACACTGACAAAGTTCATCCTACTTTGGTTAGATAGATGGCTTTACTATTTTCTTGCTAAGAACAACTCTGTAGTTTTGCTGTTGGAATTCTCCTGCAAATTTTCTTTTATGAATGTCTTTTAAGTTTGGCCAAGTCACTTTATGCAAGAAGAAAAATATGGCCAGAATGAATAAGAGCATTTGGCTAAGTTCATGTTGTGCAATAAAAAAAAGGCTCTGGATGAGAACACATAACTAGACTTTAGATGGATAGGTAAACTTGCTTAGTGGTGCTGGTTTGTGCTAAAATGTTCAGTTAAGTAATCGGCTGATGAACTGTGACTCATGATTTTACCACCTGGAAATTATCTCATAGATGTTTTTTATCAGCAATTTCCTCTGAGATTGCAAATGATTCAATAGATGTCTCTTGGTTCCAATAATGTTGGATAATGAACCAACAAGCGTGTAGAACTAAGCCATCATGAAATTATCATAAAAAAATTATCATGAAATTTTTTTATCACAAAATTATCATAAAATTATCATAAATACATATTATTATCACAAAATTATCATAAAAAAATTATCATGAAATTTTTTTCATAAAAACAGAAAACTAAGCCATGAATAAAAAAGCAAAAAAAAAAAATAAAAAAAGAAGAAACCGAAAACCAAACCGAACCAAACCGAACCAAATCGGCTTATCGGTTCGGTTCCTATTTGGTTCGGTTGAAGGAGACACCCTTAACGGTTCGGTTCGGTTCGATTTTTCTGAAAAACCGAACCGAACCGAACCGTTTACACCCCTAGTTGGCATATTTAAAACTTCAATTGATATCTCAGATTTTCAGAAAAACTTAGAAAAACTATATAAATATGATGAAGTTATAAGGATGCCAATGTATTTATCAGACTTAATACTCCATCAGATCGAGCGGGGATGGACATAGCTCTCTTCTCTCCGTCTTCTCTCTTCGCCGACCCTGACGACTCTTCCTCTGGTTCTCTCTCTCTCTCTCTCTCTCTCTCTCTCTCTCTCTCTCTGGGTCAGCATCATCCCTTAACAAGCTGCACAAATTTGTCTCGCAGAGGAGCAGCATGAGTCCGAGACTCCACAGAGCTACGCGGAGAGGACGCACCGGTTTCCCGGAATGGTTATAGCTTAGTGTTCTTGATTGCACCATCTTCCGTCCCTTTCGTTGCGAATGCTTGCTCATTTCCTATCTGCCTATGTTACCTGCCTTTCTGGTGTTTTGACAGTTTTTTATGACCTCTTCTCATGTATGGATCTGTGTGAAAGTAGGGTCCGTTAGCTCTTGCTCGGGGTCACGAGCGCTTGATGGGATTAAAATTTTTGTGGGTTTTTGATTTGGTGGGGCTAGAGATGGGCATTGGCAAGAACTATCCGATTCGTGCCGGACTGCCTCATTGTGCCGGTTCGTGGATAGGAACAGAGATCTGGTGGTTGTGGGTGTGGTTGATGTGTTGAACAATTCGTTGGGGTTGGGAAATATGCAGGTTTCTGAACGATGAGCAAATTGGGTCTCAAGGCAATTTGTCTGAGGCAAAAGTTTCTTATTGCCATTGGTGCCGGGTCTGGGGGTTGTAGTTGGTGTAGGGAATAACTCTTTGGGATTGGGAAGGTATGGAGGTTTCTGAACAATGGGCAAAACTGTTCTCAAGACAGTTCGTCCGATGCAAATTTTTCTTATTGCCATTGGTGCCAATTGTTTGTGACCTCTATGCTACTTGCTCTCGTTTTTGTTCGGGCACTGTTTTCTGCAGCTTGCCAGGGTTTTAAGGTCTTGAACTGTTCCCCCTGTGTAATTGGTTGTGCAGGATTTGGTCATCCGGGAGTTTTCATTCCACCAGCTGAATGCTAATCTTTTGTGGCCGGGGACGTTCGCATTTGCTGAATGGTTAGTTCAGCACCGGACATGGATTGAAGGACGGCGCATCATTGAGCTTGGCAGGTGTGTATCAATTGTCTTGTTGTCTGGACTATCTGGTTGCCATAATGAATGAGTCTCTGAGCATTACATCTTCATGTAACAAAATGGGTGATATTTTGTGCTTCTTGGTTTAATATCCTTTGATTTTGTATCCGCAAATGGTACAGCTGCTTTTGGTACTTTAAATCTTCAAACATACTCCAACACAAGGAGCTTTAGTTTTAGATCTTAATTTAGTGATTCAATGGCAGTGGAACTGGAGCTCTGGCCATCTTTCTGCAAAAATCTTTTAGTCTTGACATCACCACATCAGACTACGATGACCTGGAGATTGAAGAGAATATAGCGCGTAACTGCAAGATTAACGGAATTACACCTGTCCTTCCTCATATCAAACGTGAGTGTCCCTTATCAAACCCTCAACAAAATTTCTACATTCATCTTAATGGCTGTTGACCAGCCTGCTGAGGAAGTTATGACCTGGCATATTGACAGTTAATGATTGTTCTAGGTAGTCAGTCTCTTCATGTTTATTAAATTCTTTATGCATGAATGCCCCTATTCGGTGATTTGGGGAAAAGTTATTCTCTGTTAGTGAGTTCTTTGGTTGCGTACTTTGATCATCATAGCTTTCTGTAAAGGAGTTGTATTCTGATCCCTGCCATACTCATCCTTTTCTCTTGTGAAAAAATTCTGTGGAAGCTTCTTTTTGGCTGGCAATGCTGATGCTCTTAAGATGTGATACATCTTTTATGTTCATTGTTTCATTGAGGATGATGAATAGGCTTTACTTTTCAGATTCATGGGGAGACACCTTTCCCGTTGGTGAGCCACATTGGGACCTGGTCATTGCTAGTGACATTTTGTTATGTAAGTTTCTAAGCTGTCTTTCATTAGGTAGTGGCTCTGTGGTTGTCAAAATGTTGAATATGTATGCCAAATGAAGAGACAACGTAGCTATTTAGGTTAAGGGGTGAAGAGTCTATGGAGAAACCGCTGCAAAAAGCAAGGGTTCTTGATTATTATGATTGACGGGAGCTAGCAGATGTGGCAACATTGTGCAAAGCAGTCTTGAGTTCCATCATGTTTTTTGCAGTTATTTTTCTAAAAGTTTGATTCTAGGTCTTTGATATGCTTGGAGCCATGTGTTAGTGTTCTGTGCTGGAAGATATTGAATGATCACTGTGTATTTTGATACCTGACTTTAGGGTTGGTTCAAACTGTCCAAATGCATGATAGGCACTTCCAGTTCCTTAAGACGGTACAGCCGATCTGGAAATGTAGCGTTCAAATTTTTATTCATCTTGGGGAATTCTGTTTGATAAGCTACTGCCACGCCCTTTTGGCATCGACACCTGGAGCCTGCTCCTAGTGGCTTCTTTTTCACTTGTTTTCCATAAATTTGAGAGGAACTTAAAACTTCATTTCTCTGGGTAATTCTTCTTCCTGTAACCCTCTAGTTTTGTGTTTAGCAAATATGTGACAATGAAAGATACTCTTGGTTTATGCAATACCAACTTACTTTAGTGACTGTGAACTATCCTGTCCCTTATATATGACTGGAAGATTTTGTCCTTACCGTTTTTTTTTTCAAATTCATGGAGGAACATTGCCTTCACATCTGCAATTTTTGGCTTTAAATTCTTTCTTTTCTCAAAAAATCAGCGATCGGAGGATATTTCCTAATTTTCCGTTGTTTTATCTCTTGGGATAATTAGTCTAGGGAAAATGTTTTTATTGTCAACAGTGAATTATGATCATTGTCCTGCACATTATTCAATACTACATACTCTTAACATATTTACTTTTCATGATTCTGTGAAGATGTGAAGCAGTACCAGAAACTGATAACGACTCTCTGCTTTCTCCTGAAAAATTATAAGCCAAGAACTGACAGGGCTGATGTCATGGAGACCAGTCAGAAAGGTAATTATACACATGCCTCTTCCGGTTTTAGCTCAGGTTTCATTTTTTTCACTGATTCTTCTGCATCTATTTGCAGCAGGATCTAACGTTGGGTTTCCACGGCCAGCATTTCTTATGAGTTGGCGACGCAGAATTGGAAAAGAAGATGAGTCTCTCTTCTTCAATGGTTGTGAGGATGCTGGACTAGAAGTGGAGCATATTGGCTCCAGGGTATACTGTATCAAACCTAGAGACTAGAGAATTGAGATAAACTGAGGTGGATGGTTAATACTTGATAGATATGTATCGACAAGCGACACGATCAACGTGACTAGGTAGTATTTTGAGTACATACAGCACAATTTTGCGGAACCTCTTTGACATTGGACACAGTGGGGGACTTAAAATCACAGGAAGGATTGTGGTTTGCAAGCTTTGGGAAATTTTTAGCTGTCGAAAGGAACTTTTGAGTCCTTTCAATCTGTGCCTCTATCTCACTATTGAAATATGACGGATAGTTATGTAGATGTCATAAACTGTGTGTTCTGCTTACAGCATCTTGGTGCTGCTATTGTGCAGGAAAAGGGCCTGCTTTCGGGCACTATTTAATATAACAGGAGGTAAAAGATAACTACGCAGCTGAATCTGGAGGATGAATCACAGGTTAGTCTCTACTGAGAAAAGGTTTTGGCATTTTTAACTCTGTCGGCTCTCCGATTTTTTAGCTTGACTATAACCCCCTTTAATAGGTGCAATGGGCATTTCGTCTGGTTACGGTCTTTACATAATGCGGAAGTAATTTCCCAGCATGATAGCTATTGTGAATATCATACTTTCATTCTGGGAAACAAAAACTTCTTTCACATTTACAGAAGATAGACATGTCTAATGGCTCACTTTGGACACCTTTGAATGCCTTACTTCCACATTGAGATCTAAAGTTGGAACCCTCGACCTCTTTTCTTCTAGCTGGAGATGAAGTCTAGACAATAGCCCTTTTCAGCTTGAATGACAGATTCATCTAATAGTAACTCGAATCCGGCCTATGAATGTAGAATGATATTCATCCTAGTCTTTATACAGATAAACCAGTTAGAACCCTACTGTGTTCAAAGATCCATTCATTCATTCAGTTACTTATCATTTCTTGTCACTTGTCAGTCTGGTTCAGTTCCACTTGTAATTTGCTGCTCTTTTTGTCTAAATTTGTAAAGACTATTTCAAACTATCAGCCTCTTTGTTAGGTAGATTGGACTTAAAGCTTGGGTGTGATAACTCTATCTCAATATGCATTCGATTTCGTGTCCGGATTGCATTACATTTAGGGTGGATAAGATTATCTTACCTAAGAGCGAAATAAACTCGGATAGGATTTGCATGTATACATTTTTAAAATGTAAAAACTGAAGAAATTCCGTTTCTACCTTTATCCTATTCGATTCTCTTCCGATCCGATGTAATTTTCGTTTTGGTTACAAATTCTGATAGATCAAGCGCGATCTCAGAGCATACTAAAGTTTAGTGTTATTTTTGTGAAGGGGAAAGACGATTACTCAACTAATATACGGTCCGATAAAAAAAAAAACTAATAAACGGAAACCAAATTATTGGCATACTAAAATGATATACGATTTGCTTATCATAGCTTAAAGGGGGGAAAATTTAAGTTTTGTCTGAAAACCTAATCAAGGGATGATACATCGAATATTATATAATATTTCGTGGAGTATAATATATATGTGATGAAAATAATATCAAGTACCAAGCGACTTGAGAAATCGTACTCAATCTACATCGTCAAATAATGTTTGATTTGTCGTTTGAGAAAATCAAATGACTAAATCGAACATTTATAGATGGTTCAAAAGCTACATTGAACAAATTAAAAGTTCAGGTGGATTATATTGAACATGGAATCAAAGTTCATGGATAATATATGTCAATTTTCCATTAATAAAGTCAATTTTGAACATCTCAAATTTCTAAAGATACATCGAATTCTTACATTCATGTCATTTCAACTCATGCGCTTACATCTTCAAAATATCAATTTTTTTATTATCAAAATGCCACTGCTTAGTTCCATGCAGTACGAGGTTCTTTTTTTTTTTTTTTTTTTTTTTATCTCTTTTCAAGAGTTGCGACTTGTAAAGAATATTTGACTGCCTTATGCCAAGCCGAAGAAGATTAAGGGTGCGTTTGGCAATCATTATGTTCTCGAAAATAATTTCTGTTAAAAAATGATTCTTTTTTATTTCGTGCCCGGGAACAATTTCTAAGCATTTGAAGGTGTTTGGTAACTGTCCAAAATTTCTATTCTTGAAATTGAAAAAGAACAGAAATGCATCTAGTAACAGCATAAAATTTCTTTTTATTAGTAATATTTTAAATATTTTAATATTTCTTTCTTTTAAATTTTTTTTTCTTCTTCCCCTTCTTTGGCCATGGCCAAGTCACTGGCGCCGGTGATCGGCCATAGGCCAGGGCCGGCGAGGGCTAGACCCTTGTCGTCGCCGTCGCCCTCGCTAGATCCGACGAGGGCAACTCGCGGCTTGGGCGAGTGTCGCCCTCGCCAGATTCGGCGAGGGCGGCTAGCGGCCTGGGCGAGGGTCGCCCTCGACAGATCCGGTGAGGGCGGCCCTCGTCCAGGTTGCGAGTCGCCTTCGTCGAATATGGCGAGGGCGGCGGCGAGGGCAAACCACGCCAGACCCTCGTCGGCCTTGACCTGTGGCCGGTTGCCTGCCACGGGCCAGGAAGAAGAAGAAGAAGAATTTTTTTTTTGCCATTTTTTATTCTTGTTCCCAGAATAAAAAAATAACTTTTTTTTATTTCTTGATTCTGTTCCAAAATTGATTCTAGGATCAAATTTTTGCAAATTTGTACTCGGGAACAAAAAATTTACTAAACGAATTTCTGTTTCAAAACTGATTCTGGGAACAAAATAATAGAAATAGTTATTGTTTTGCCGGTTGCCAAAACGCACCCTAAAATTCTCGTACTGCTCCTCCAGTCCAAAGTACTGTCTACCTTTGACAAAAAAAATCACCTAGGAAAAAGAAATTATAATTCTTTTTAATTAAATGTCGACATATTCTCTTTACGAATTCTAGGTCTTTAATATGCTAAAATTAAAATTTGAATTTTGGAAATGAAAAGTGAAAACATAAAAAAAAAATTACGTAACAACTATTCCAAAACGCATTTTTTTTTCTTTTGTCCGGAAAAATTAACCACTAAAAAGTAATGCGCCCTGACATCAAGGATGTACATAGATAAAATGTAAATGAATGTCGAAAAATCAACGGAATAAGAGTCTAAGTTATTCGGCTAAGCAAATTCGAGCGATGCAATCAAAATATAATTTGATATGATGATTGCTTATCGTACAAAATTAACTTGAAATTGAGAGTCAACTTCTCGAAACAGAGCTCGAGGTCGGCGCGAGAGGGTATTATAAGGGTGCGCATGACAATCATTCTGTGCCCGGAAACTATTTCTACTCAGAAATGATTCTTTTTTATTCTGAGCCCGGAAACAATTTCTGAGCATTTGAAGGCGTTTGGTAACTGTCCAAAATTTCTATTCCTGAGATAGAAAAGAATATAAATACGTTTGGTAACTACACAAAATTTCTTTTTATTAATAATATTTTAAATTGTTTAATATTTTTTTTCTTTTTTTTTTCTTTCTACCCTTCCCTTCTTTGGCCATGGCCGGTCGCCGCGCCGGCGACCGGCCACAGGCCAGGGCGTCGCGGCCCTCGCCGCCGCCCTGGCCGCCTGCCTCACCGCCGGCCTCGCCCAGATCAGGCGAGGCTGAGCCTCGCTGTCGGTCGCGACGGCGAGGTCGGCTTCGCCGTCGATCGCAATGGCGAGGTCGGCTTCGCCGTGGGTCGCAACGGCGAGGCTCGGCCTCGCCCGATCTGGGCGAGGCCGACCTCGCCATGATCGACGGCGAGGGTCTAGCCCTCACCCTCGCCGGCGAGGGCCGTGACGCCCTCGTCGGCCCTGGGGCGACCGGCCACAGCCAAGGGAAGAACAACACAAAGAAGAAAAGAAAAAAAAGAAAACGAAGAAAAAGAACTCATTTTCAAAATTGTGCCGAGAAACAAGAAGCAACTTTTTTTTACTTCTTGTTTCTCTTCCAAAACTGTTTCTGGGCACAAATTTTTGCAAAAATGTGCCCGGGAACAAAAAGTTTACCAAACGCATTTCTGTTCCCAAACTATTTCTGGGAACAAAAGAACAGAAATTTTCACTGTTTGGCACGTTACCAAACGGGCCCTAACTCTTCAACCCTAAACTCGAGCGAATTCAATTATCACAAACTTAACATCAGAGTAATCCCGAGCTCCATCTCGTCAAGCTCTTGTAGGAGAATATAATTAAATTGAAAGCGATGTTGTTTTTTTCGATTTCCTTTGTCGTATCGATTCATTTATGTGCGTAATGAAAACATTAGATTTGATGTTTGACACGAGGTCAACTTGATTTAAATTCATGGACTACGCAAATTGACTCAACTGTATTTTAATTAGGTTTGTGGGCCTTTATGTCACTAATTCTAGTAATGTATAATCAATCTTAAATTTAATTTCGTCCATTTGTATGGTTGAGAATTTACTAATTATGTAGGGCCCACGCACTATGATGTAGACACTCAAACTTGAGCTAGCTCAATTAGTCACAAATCGGGATTGAAGTAGCTAACAACTTGAGCTTAAATTACTTATTAGTATCTCAAAGCTTGATTTCACATGTTACTTAGGCTCCGTTCGTTTGGCGGAAAATATTCTCCTTTTGAAAAATATTTTCCCGGAAGTCATTTTCCTGGAAAATGTTATCCCGGAACATAATTTTCCGGTGTTCGGTGACCAATATGAAAAAGTTTCGGAAAATATTTTTCGTCGGTGACCACCGGCGGCGGCGGCGGGCGGCTGTCGACCGGCGGCCACGGCGGCGGCCGGGCGGCGACCGGGCGGCGGCAGCCGGCGGCGGGTGGCGGCCGGCGATCGCGGGTGGCCGTCGCCGACCGCGGCCGCGGCGGCGACCGGTGGCGCCGGGCGGCGGCGGCGGCGGCAGCGTCGGGCGGGCGGGCGCGGCGGCGGCGTCGGCGGGCCGGCGGCCGGCGGCCAACGGCGGTGACCGGCGATCAACTTCCTCTCCCACGGAAAACATTTTCCCTCCCATGGGCAATTTTGCCTTCACTTTGTGGGAAAATGATTTCCTCTTTGTGAAAAGAGGAAATCATTTTCCTCAAAACAATGAAGGATTTGAGGGTGGGGAAGGAAAATGTTTTTCCACGGAAAACATTTTCCGCCCCCTAACACCGGAAAACGCGGAAAATGTTTTCCGGAAAAATATTTTTCCGCAAACGAACACAAAATGAGAAAATTGTCTAAAAAGTCTTAAACCTATTGTGCTTTTGTTAATTCAATCATAAACCTTTCAATGTTACTAATTGAATTCTAAACTTTTTCACTTCTTGCCAATTGAGTTCATTCGGTTAATTTTGGTCGGAAATTGCTCATATACATGCTAGCAGTTTTACATGGCATGATAAGCGCTGGCATGGATAATTTTAATAATATTTTTCGAATTTTCTATTAAATTTTTTTCTTTTTTTCTTATTTTTTCCTTCTTTATTTTTTTTTTCTTTTTCATGTTTATTTTCTTCTTTCTTCTTTCGTTTTTCCTTTTTCCCTTCGCTGGCCATTGCCGAGCCTCGTCGATGGCCGCCGGAGGTCGTCGGCCTCTAGTAATGGCCGCGGGCGGCAGGTGAGGGCAACCATCGCCCTTGATTTGGCAAGAATGGCTTGAGGTCGGCGACCTGTGCCAGCCATTGACGAGGCCAAGTGGTGGCTAGTGGAGGGAAAAAGGGAAAAAGAGAAAAAGAAAGAGGAAAGAAGAGAAAAGGGAAAAAAAAGAAAAAAAGAAAAGAAGGAAAAGAGAGGAAAAGAAAAGGAAAATAAATAAATAATTTGAAAAAAATATTTAAAATTGTCCATGTCAGCGCCAACTATGCCACGTAGGACGGCCGGTGTCCACCTTAGCCATTTCCGATCAAAATTAGCTAGATTGACTTAATTAACAAAACGTGAAAATGTTTAGAACTCAATTGGCAAAATCGAAATGTTTATTACTGGATTAACAAAAGTACAATAGGTTTAGATTCTCTACTTGAAATTCTAATAAATGTAGAAACAACAATAGGAAATTAAAAGTCTACATATATAATGACAAAGGTTATTTTTCAGATGATGCAAGGGCACTGTCCCTACGCGACATTGTGAGAAAATTATCAAAAAAGTTTTAAATTTATTGTACGGATGTCAATTTAGTCGTTGATGATTTTTACAATTTTTTCTTTCCTTTTTACTCTATTTTCCTCCGCCGATCACGGGGGCCTCAACAATGGCCGGAAAGGGTGTCCTGGCCCTCATCGGCCGTCACTGAGACTCGGCGATCGGCAAAGGGAAATAGGGAAAAAAGAAAGAAAAAATGAAAAAATTTAGAAATTAAAAATTAATTGCGAAAATCGTCCGCGTTAGGATTGCCGGCGCTGACTAGGCTATCACGTCAGCGATTTCTTGTCAAAATTGGCTGAAAAAACTATATTGACAAATTATCAAAAGGTTTAGGACTTAATTGGCCAAATTGAAAAGTTTATAATTAAATTGACATTCGTAAAATAGGCTTAGGACATTCTTGGTTATTATACCGACATTTGCGGAGTCATATATGCTTAAAAATTGCTGATACTCGATCAATTATTTATTCGAATAAGATAGACGACTTAACACCCACCCGGCTTTTATCAACAAAGTTGTTTAATCACATAGGTAAAAACGGTCTGTGCTAGCATCGACGTGGGGCGCGCGTCGAGTCAAAGATCAGCATCACGACATAGAAGATCCACAAATCGTCTAACCACCTCAGAAAGAATCCCGTACACCAATAAAGAGAATCAAAACAAACGGTGTTTCATAAAGCTGATCGAGACAACGAAGAAGAAGAAGAAGAAGAAGAGGAGGAGGAGAAATATCAAACGGAAGAGACAATGAAAGCGAGTTCTTCTCAGCAAGGTACGCAAGTACAGCTTCCACATGTCGACCTCGCTCCATTGTTAGCCTCAGATATGTCTTGTGTGGTTGTGCCGACGGCATGAGTGATGGTCATGGCCTCACGCTAGGACCGTTTTTCAGTTTTCAGCTCTATCCTAGGAAGATTCAAGGAAGGAGCACCTAAAGAGTTCATTCACGACACGCCAGGGACAAGAAAATTTTAGGTACTACGAAACCCTTTTGTTATATGTATAAACCATGCTTTCTCGTATGCTACGTATCTTTCAAACACTTTGGCGTTTCCTAAAGAAGTCACTATAAAACCTTACTATTCTTTCGCATCGCTCTTATTAGAATCCTATAGAGATCTAACCATCCAAGTGCTCTAACCAATTTTACCTTCACATGCTTGAGGGACAACTTTGCCAAGGGGCATCAGGAGTCACATGAACATCAAAAGGTTAGACTATCTAAAAGCGAAGCCCTCAATTCAACAAACCAGGTGAATTCAATAGCAGGCACCCGTTGGCATTCCAGCCTTCCTTCTTTCAGGGCCAATTCTAACTACTACATAGAATTGAAGAAAAACAAAGAAAAGGTCTTTAAGAAAAAAGGAAACAACTAAAATACCAAGTCATAAGCGGAAACGTAAAGAGAGGGAGTCGATAGATGTTAAAGAAAGAATTTCCAATTCTAAGAAAGTGTCGCTCCAATCGGGTTCAAACACTTATCATCGTGGTTTTTTTTTGCCTTTTTTCTTTTTACTTGGGGCCCGCGTTTCATTGCTAGATTTGACCTGGAGCAACCACTTGGGCATTGCAACGAAAGGTTCGGGCATCTTGTACTTGCATGGAAACGGCAAGAACGCAGCATGTCCATTTATTTGCATCCGTCAAAGAGAGATCTCTTTTGTTGTGTTCCTCATTACTCAAATGAATCAACTTGTCTTCTTGTCAATAATGAGACGAGGCTAATCTTCATGTTGGAGGGAAATATATAGGAACCATTTGTTTATTATTTTATTTATTTTGGCCCATCATATAGGAAACTTCTTGGAAACACCCTTACTGGCTCTCTTGACACATGGGGGTGGGTCGGTCAATTTTTTGTGTTGTTTTTTTGTCTTACAATGTATCCAAGACATGGCATGTGGTAGTGGGGTTTCCATGGAAGCGAAGAAGCAATCGATGAGCGTGCTGTGTATGCAGATACGCATCGGGATCGTCAGGTCTGGTGGGACTGATAAGGATCTCGCTAGATCTAGTAATGATCCGGATGCATATTGGTACATATGACGAACTCACCAAATAACTTCCCAACAAATCCTAATATTATAGGTTGTAAAGGGTAAAAAAGTTAAGTGGTCCTTGAATCGTTTGTCTTTCGATGCGCTCATCGCTAATGCTTTGCCGTGTAAGAAAATGAGTCTGACCTTTCTGAGGCTCGAGAGCCTTGTGATATATGTTAATGGCGTCTGGATAACGGTTTGTGAGTGATGAGTATACCTAAAATAGACGATTTGAATTCGTGAGCTATGTTCTCATGCCTCTTTAAATCTGCATCCACGACCCATAAAGAATAGATATAAATCAAAGGTGGAATCAACTCAACAATGCGCATGCCTAATGGTTCAGCTTATGAGGAGAGTCGTGATTTCTATAGATTAGAAACGAATTTGTATCTTTAGCATCTGTGTTTAAAGACCCACCAACGCATAAAGAAGTAGTATACATGGGAGTCTTTGCAAATCGAATAGTAAAATTCTTCAAGGGTTGAAATAAAAGTGATTAATTACGGTTTAAGTCAAAATTACACAAATTTATGGGTGTATGCATTATGAAAACGAGATCAATCGAAACTTACAATCCTCAGAAAAGGGAACGGCAAATGTCGTAGAGACAAATTTACGCACACTTGTGTCTAATCAAGCAAATGAAGCTAACCGTACCGAAAGAACCCTAAACCCTAAAACCCTAAACTCTATATGTCAAATTTTCTATGTGTAAATTAGGAACAATCATGGTCATGACTATGATTAATATGGCTTGTACTCTGTGGTTATGTGCACATTGTAAATGTCATTGAGACAAATTATACACACTTGTGTCTAACTAAGGAAATGAAACTATCTATGCTTTAAAAACCCTAAACCCTTAAACCTAAAATCCTAAACCCTATATTAGTAAACTAGGAACAATCATGGTCATGACCTTGATTCATATGGCCTGTAGTTGTACACACTGCATAGTTCATAGAGACAAATTACGCACACTTATGTCTGATTAAAGAAATGAAACCAACTATGCTTAAGAAACCCTAAACTCTTAAACCTAAAATCCGAAACCCTATATTAGTAAACTAGAAACAATCATGGTCATGACTATGATTTATATGGCCCGTAGTCGTGGTTATATATATACACATTCTTCCTGCAAGAAAAGAAGGCAACGTTTATTACTGTGTTTTCAAGGGCATGAACTTGGAAAGCTTAATGAGCACTTCATGCAAATATACACAAGCAAAACCGACTTCAAGACAGCTCCTCACGCATGATCTAAAAGCAAAAAGAAGGGAAAACAAAGCAGAGTTTTCACTGAAATCCCAGTGAAAATTGGAAGTCAAGCTCAAGAGTAGTACATGAAGAACGTATATATAGAGAGGCCCTAGAATTGCTTCTCTATAATCATACCATTGCCGGAAATTTCACACTCTTTTCCCTGATTTTGTGACCTTGCACCACTAATTTCATGTTATGGCCTTCACTGCCTCTAGACCGAAATTTCCCCGCCGTATCGAGATTGTGGTAATGACCGTACGCCAACTTTGAGCGTAGCTCGACTATATATATAACGACAGACCCAGCTCCACGCGCACGAGTACCGTACATGCGTCCACGAAATCATGCCTCAAAAAGTTATCGACCATTTAGCCTTCGTGTATGTAGCACCCCCGCGCAATTACTAAGCACGTACGTTTGCGTAAAGTCCGGACCGCAAAGTGTCTGAAACCAAAGTCTGCATCCGCGATTTGTTGTCTATATCAGTTACAAAACTATACGGTGGAAGAACGTGTATCGTAACCCCTCACAGCAAGCATCACCAGTGTGTTTTCGAAGTGTAATTTCTGGGAAGCTTCCTGTGCGTAGGGTTTGGTTTGTACGTTTCCATGATACACATCTTCTCTCTCGTGCACTGACAGTGTCATGTAGCGACGGTCGGTTGGGATGCGCTTCCTGTCTTCCTCTTCATAATTCATGTGGTCTTGATAGACTTTAACTGAAGGAAGACGACGTGTCGCAGATCAAACTGGAGGGGGCACGAGATCCATTTTTCACTGTCCGAAAAACGGTACAGATATATGCATCATCGTCAGGTAAAACGGCCTCCTGAAATTCGGTACAGATATTTTTCACTTTCTGTGGCTCCGAAACGAGGATGGAGTCGGTAACTCTTGTCTCTTGCAAGTTGATATTAATGGTGATGTTCATGTTTGGATTCGCCTGGTAAAAACATGGCGATTCAGTTGGGAATGCCTGAATGAAATACAAGATGTGTTTTGAGTTTATCATCATGACGTTGTACTCTCGTACGGACTGTTGGAACTTCTTTAATATTCAGAATCGCATTCTGTGGAATCCCGTACTGACTTTGACGACTTGTTCGATTTTTCTAGTGAGGTGCGATCATCAGGGATTTAAGAGTGACGTTTACTATTTTGTTTGTTTAATTAGGGGTGAGTAACTCGGCTGATTCGATTCAAGGGCCGGTTCGGTTCACAAGAGGATTGATCCGGATATCGATTTCAAAAACTGGAACCGGCCTGGACTCGTCAATAACGAAATGTACGTAAGAGTGACAATGACTAAAGACATCAAATTATCCAGTTTTTGCAGATGGAAAGAAGATGCTCGCTTACGGTCTCGGTTCATTATCTTGAACCGGCCTGCTCCAACTGTGAACATGAAATCTAAGTAAGATTTTTTGCTCTTTTTTTACAATAGAATATATTTATTGATATTAATATGTTTGACATATTATTCTCAAGTAAAAAGAATCGTATTGTTTTGCTCTATAAATAGGGTCGGTTCCCGTTCCAAAATCCAAGAACCGACCCTGCCATGTTAGGTTCTAGGAACCAAGTATGTAACCTACCCACTCTAAAACCGATCATCTATAGTTTTAATAAGAAAGACCAAAATAGTGATTGTTTGGTGCGGTTTGTTTTATAAATATATTCTCTTTATTGAATCTTTATAGAATAAAACGAGTTAAATATCCCACATCAAATGTCTATTGGGATTTGTATATTCTGTATATACATTTAGTCTTCCTTCACCTATTAGTTTAAGGTTTTGGGTCGTCCATTCTAATATGGTATGAGAGCTAGTTCTGCCTTAGCTTATTTCGCATGTGTGGCCTCCCATTCAAGCCTTATCTCATATCGCTTATATGTTTTTTAAATAAAGACGTTCGCTTCGAAAGCTATCAGCGAAGAGTTTATGAAACCTGCCGGATTCTTCATCACCTTATCTCCATTAAGACCGACAGCTTCCCTTCTAGACAAGACCTCTCTTGCATTTCCACTGAACTACCGAATTTTGCGCCAATTTTGCCATAAGATTTTGGTGATTTGGGAGAGAGAAGGAGCAAATTCAGTTTTGCCCTAATTCCCAATCTCAGTTCGTTTTCTTCAAATCTGGCTTCTGCACAATGACGTAGTTTAAAGAGCCATTAACGCTGAATTTCCGCATCGAATCCACGTCAAACGTGTGGCTTGCCACGTATTTTTCATGTCAGAAGCTAACATGGATGTTTTACGTAAGCTAACTAAGGATAGATATGTCTTGGTATAACATTTTAAGATTTTTTCTAATACAAAAATTAATATGAAGTAAATGTATCACGGACATACCAATTTCAAATTTTTGATAGTATCATCTATCTTAACAAAATGTCGAACGGGAAAATCTTTTTGGCAAGCGATATGTCTTGGTGGTATTACTGATATCGTCAAAGTAGCCATTCAAGGGGTAAACATTGGAGATATTATTAGGCGCTTTTGGAGCTATTGCCTACTGCCATTTAGACTAGTCTAGTCATCTCATCATGATGTGTCAAATTATTATAAATCCTTTTTTTTATTGCTTTTTATTAAAATGATCATATAATAGTTGTTGCATAAAGATTGAATCACAACGTCACGGTTCGATAACACCTAAAATTCCTCGAGATATTTTCTCTTGCCTAGGGTTGATTGGTTCCTAATAAAAAAATTTGGAACTTAACCAGGCAGAATTTGCTCCTTTAGGGACTGGTCTGGATCCGAACCGGCCTGATTCATGGTTGACTCGAGAATCGAGCCTAACTTGAAGTAATATGATTATAATTTTTAGAAAAATATACCGTATGAACAATCCGTGGCATAATAATTAAGGAATTGATAAATTTCATAATATTTCCAAGTCCGAAGCCTATCCCGACATATCTAGCTTTATGTTAAGCCAAGCAAACATACAAAACCAAGTCAAACCGGTCCTCGGTATAAAATCGGAAATTAAAACCGGTTTCACAATCTTTATTTAGATACCTATTAGATATTCGTGCGAACCAGCTTAAAACCGATCGGGTTAGGCCAATTCGGTTCGAGTCCCGGATCGAACCGGCCGGTCGCTTGCCCCTACTCCTCCCCGATGGTTTCTAAATATCTGGACTCTTTACATGTCTGCCACGTGGCATTTTGACTCTGCAAACCTACATTTGCATCAAATGAAAAACAGAAAGAAACATGAAACTTCCAGGAAGATTCATACACAGTTCGGTTTACCTGCCAATAAAGCATACCATATATGCATATATATACAGCCACTCACAACACTCACACAACACACAAACAGAGACACAGAAAACGCTGTTTCATAGCCATCCTCCAGGAACACACGCACACATCGCTCCGACGACGGACGGTTCTTCTCGGAATGGCGAACAATTCGTGCAACGAGGCGTGGGTCATCGAGAACGGCGGCCTCAAGGTGTCGAGCAAGGAGACGAGGCCCGGCCGGACGGCGCACAACATGTCGTCGTCGTCGCTGCGCAAGAAGTCCGACCTCGCCCTCGTCTCGAAGGTCCCGTGCCGCTCCCTCCGGATGCTCCTCGCCAACCTCCAGGAAGTCATCCTCGGGACCAAGCTCTCCATCCTCTTCCCGGCCATCCCTCTCGCCGTCGCCGCCGAGTTCTACGGCTTGGGAAGAGTATGTCTGAGTACACAGAGAAAATGAAAAAAAAGATTTTAATTTCTGTCTGCTTTCGGAAACAAAACCATATTAATTACTTGGACTTGCAGTTGACATGCGTTTGATTTGGAGTGATTTTTTTCTTTCTTTCGACTTTTTAAAATTCCAACTTTATTTAATCTAATTGACAGGATAAAGAACTCCTGAAAAGAATTGGCTGACTGGAAGATATTAAAACATAAAACGTAAGGAAAATGAAATCTTTGACACAAGAGTTGGCTTCATTAGAATACAAACTTCATTATCAATGCGCTTTAATGATTTTAAAATTTGGGAAATTTGAAGAAATGGTTGTTCAAGATTCTGTTGAATTCTTCAATTTTCTTGCCTGTCATGTAAAGAAATCGGCTAATTTACTATTTTCAGAAGCTAGAGATATCTATTTAATGCGCTGACCAAAGTGAACTGCGTTGCGTCTGCATGCAGTCGTGGGTCTTTGCTCTGAGCCTCCTTGGACTCACCCCTCTTGCCGAACGTGTCAGCTTCTTGACAGAGTGAGTTCATAGAACTTTATAAATCATTTGATTTTGGACCTAACTCATTTAATATATATGTATGTAAATATATCTGAGTCTCTCACAGCATCGGTTCTGATACTGGAACTAGGGTTTCTTGACTTATGCCCTCTTTGCTGTATTGTCATTTTTGGCAGGCAAATTGCTTACTACACCGGGCCCACAGGTACTTTTTTTTTTGAGGCAGTCTTCATTTCTCATGCCAAGTACAGGCTTATATTAATGAACTAGTTAACTGAAAATAGAGATGTGGTTCTCAGTGATGTACTATAATATTCTCTTCAGGTCCTGAGTACAATGGCAAATGGACAAAGTTTTTGTCCAGTCTCAGATTAGTTTCTATGGTCATCCTGCGGAGATGGACATTTGTGGGTAGAAAGGAACTAATGGTGAAGCGCGTCACATGCATTTTGATCGTCGGTTTACTTTTCGAGTGACTGGTCGCGACCTCGAGAGGGAATCGAGGATCGTAGATCAGTTACTTCGATATGATTTCGCATTTGTTTCCTCTGGATATGATGTGTTCATTAGGAGTTTATTATTTTAAACGCGGTGAAAATTCGACTTAATCGGGTTATCTCTTTTCTCCTTTCAAGTGACTTTGATTGTGTATGCAATTTGCTTTACTTGTTTTGCAGTGGGAGGGCTTCTGAATGCAACCTGTGGCAATGCAACCGAGCTGATAATAGCCATATTTGCCCTAAGCCAACACAAGATTGAGGTGGTGAAGTACTCTCTCTTGGGTTCCGTCCTCTCCAACCTCCTGCTTGTCCTCGGCACTTCGCTGCTGTGCGGCGGTCTCGCCAACCTCCGGAGAGAGCAAAAATATGACCGGGTAAGCAAAAAGATCGACTGCTCGAATGAGTGCGAATGTAGTTAGCTTCTGTCGTCGCGATGACATAGATGATGATTTCAATCTGGGCTTTTTGTGGTCTTCGAATTCGACAGAGACAAGCCGACGTGAACTCCCTCTTGCTGTTGCTGGCGCTGCTGTGCCACCTGCTGCCGATGCTGTTCCGTTACGCCGGCGGTTCGGCCGCCTCGACCGCGGACCCGACACTCAACCTCTCGAGGGCGAGCAGCGTGGTCATGCTCCTCGCCTACGTCGTCTACATCTTCTTCCAGCTCGTCACGCATCGCCAATTGTTCGAAGCACAGGTTGGCTGAAACCATTCAAGCTTTTAATTTCCCAATCTTATGGATCACAATTCCTTAATTTTCACTAGTTTATGATGCTATATTGAAGACGTCTTTGTGGCAGGTGGGTTGGTTCGAATCTTGATCGCTTACTTCTTCATACTAAATTAATTGCCACTTTCAATAAAGTGCAATAAATGATGCTGGAGTATGGAGCTAATGTTGCACCAACCCTAACATAGTAGAGAAAACAAAATGCCACGTCACATCTTCTTTCAATTTTCCTATGTATAATCCCTATAATCGTGTGCTAAATTGATCTGATCACAGGACTCTGATGAAGAAGATGACACGGTTTCTGGTGAAGGGGCAGTGATAGGGTTTTGGAGTGGATTTGTTTGGCTGGTGGGGATGACCCTTGTCATAGCTTTATTATCCGAGTATGTTGTCAACACAATCGAGGTAATTATGTGTATCTAATTAATTACTTCCAAAGTGATTAAGAATGCTACTTTTTGTTCACTAATCACAAACGAATAATTAGTTAACCATATGTTTAATTGATGATGTTATTAGTCGGCGTCGGCTTCGTGGGGCCTGTCCGTGAGCTTCCTCAGCATAATCCTGCTGCCGATCGTCGGGAACGCGGCCGAGCACGCCGGGGCAGTCATATTCGCTTTCAAGAACAAGTTGGTGAGTGTTTAAAATTGATTGAGAGGCCGATCCGGCAGTGAATTATCGAGAGGCCGATCTGAAAATCATCTCTCGACGCGATCGCAGGACATATCTCTAGGCGTCGCTTTGGGCTCGGCGACTCAAATTGCGATGTTCGTGGTGAGAATTTATGAATTTTACGTTGCCGATTAGACTCTTTTTTTTTAAATATTATTACATCAACAAGCTTCAATTAAACTTTGAATGTTGATGATTTTCAGGTCCCTTTTTGTGTGATTGTTGCTTGGATAATGGGGATTAAGATGGACCTCAATTTCAACCTTCTTGAGACTGGCTCTCTTGCTCTATCAATCATCGTCACAGCTTTCACTTTGCAGGTTATTATCATAATTATCATAATCATTATAATTTATTATTATTAATATTATCGTCACCATCTTCATCATTATTATTAGTCATTTATTTAAGGGATTTCAATTTTAATTTTACTTGACGCAGGATGGAACTTCCCACTACATGAAAGGATTGGTTCTCCTGCTTTGCTACGTAGTGATTGCAGCGTGCTTTTTTGTCTTAAGAACTCCCCAGGGTGAGTACTATTTTCCTTTTTTTTTATTTATGTTATTTTGAAAATTATTTTAAAAAATAAAAAAAGTACTAGCTTTTGTCAATATTTATGACGCCAAAAATCTAAAATCTAAGTTGGATAAATATTTTCTTGAGCAGATCTACCTAACATGAACAACTTGGAGCTCAATCTACCAACTGAAGTAGTTTTCAGAGCTTGAACCAGTAAGTGCAAATTTCACGTTCAGCTCTTTCGTAAGTACCGTTTGGATTGAGACCGATCCTGAGCCTGTTTTAATGCAGAATTCGGGCACCCGCTCGATGAAGGATACGAGGGCTCGGATGAGAGGTTAACTAAACCGGTGATTCGTCGAGAGGCGAGGAGGATTTGTTATTCTTTCGATTGCGTTGATCGATTGGTTCGGTTCGATTGCTCGAGAGGAGTTACCGGGAATTTTGCTTCCATCTAAGGGTTTGTTCATTCGTCTTGATGAAGGTGGTCTAAAGGAAGATGGGATTCATGGCCTTTTGGTATATTTAAGTGTGGATCATTTAGGGTTTTTGGTTGAGTGAAAATTTTTGTTCCTCATTTCAACTTGGAGTGACGTGGCAATGCAAAAAAGGGTGATACAATAAATAATAGTCAATAAAGGAAGTCTCTTCCTGTTGTTTTGTTTTAGTTTACCATGTCTTATTTTTAGAATTAATTACCTAATGTTCTTAATGTAATGCTCTTATATCATGTATGCTTTTTATATATGTCTTCCTTCATCCATCAGTTTAAGTTTTTTTTATTGAACTTTTCAATATGGTATCAGATTAAGTTTTTCCCCAATTTAATTTCTCACAAGTTCGGCCCTCATGTCGTTCATAATTCAATTTGCACGAGAGTGTGGTTTTGAAGTATCTCGCTTAACCATTGGGATTTGCCCCAGTGGCCACTATTCCTACTTGGGAATGGGAGGTGGGGGCCTTTTTAGGGGAGTTAGGGGTGGGGACGTGTAGTTTCATACGTGGATTTCGACTCTCACGCCCTACAAGAGATATGGTAAAAATTTGAGAGTGAGTTGAAAGTTAGAGTAGAACATACAAAAAAAAAAAATATCTCGCTTAAGCTTTTGGGTAAATTATCTATCTTGGAATGTTTGCGAGTTGAAGAATATTAGCACCCCCTTTTGTAAGCTTAAATGAGATGGTTAGAATTGACGATAAAGAATCAAGATTGAAAATAGATCGAATAATACATGGATTTGTCTCCCATTTGGTTATTTTTTCAGTACGAAACAAATATACGTTCCCTTTAAGATATACCACATGATCATAAGATAAAACCAAATCAATCACGTCTAGATTCCGATGATTTCACTCTAAGTAACCAAACAAGACCTAGTGAATCATGTATTATGGAGAAAATTGTCCAAAATGTCTCAAAATCTACTCTACAATGGTCAATTCAATCATAAACTTTTTAGTTTGTTTAATTTGATGAATTTGGTTCTAAAGCTTTTGAAGATTTGCCAATGTAGTTATTTCGGCGAAAATTGATTGGCAATCGCCGACTTGGCCGCCCGCTTTCATATGTGGCACAAGCAGCGCTAACATGCAGGCCCTCACTTGTGCCTCGTCGGCCATCGCCAATGCCCCAATAAACCCCGCTAGCCCTTCTGAGAAGATAGATAGTGAAAAAAAAGAAGAATTTTTTTAAAAAAATTAAGAAAATTTTAAAAAAGAAATCATGAAAATCATCCTCATTAGCGCCGGACTACCAATGGCCACATCATTGATTTCCGACCAATTTTTATTGGAAGGACCATATTTAAAAATCATTAAAAAGTTTAGAACTAAATTGGCCTAATCGAAAAATTTAAAACTAAATTGGAAACCGTACAATAGGTTTAAGATTTTTTTGAACAATTATCCCATGTATCATGTGTAACCACAAACAAAAATAAGATCATCTATTACGCTCTATTTGCGCGCCGTATGCTTTATGTAAACTAGTGCCCACTATCGGTGCCTTATGTCTTTTAGTGATAATGATGTAAATGGTCTTTAAGCTTTGACTCAATGTGCAATGTAATTTCTGAACTTTAACTTAACATGTAATATAGTTCCTAAATTTTTAATTTGTTCAATATAATCCATGTACTTTTTGTATATGTTCAATGTAGTCCCTGAACTATATGAAATAGTTTAATGTTGTCCTTTCATTAATTCAAATTCAGGGACAACATCGATTATTTTCATATTATTTAAAGACTAAATTGAACATGTACCAAAAATCTAACAACTACATTGAACAAATTGAAAATTCAGGAACGAAATTGGACATTAGACCAAAGTTTAGAGACCACATTGAATAAATAAAAGTTCAGGGGGACCACATTACACATTGGGTCAAAATTCAGGGACCATTTGCGATATTTTCCCTTTCTTTGAAGGAAAGCTTTTCATGCAATCTAGTTTTACATTTAAGTCAGATTGAAACTAATGTAATTACCAGAAAAATGACTAAGCTAACATGGCAACATATATAAATGCCTTCATGGAATTTCCTAAAAACGGATAAAATTAAGCGTGGGATGGCCCCCCCTTTATTTTAGCCCATTAAAATATTTATACGTGCAAACTGCGTGACTAGACTTTTTGATTACCTAACTTTCACATCTATTAACCACTAAGGTTTGCCCCAGTGGCCATTCTTCTTACTTGAAAAGGATGAGGTGGGGAGTTCGAATCCCCACCTTCTTAGGAGGAGTTAGGGGTGGGGACGTGTAGTTTCAGATGTGAGTTTCGACTCCCGCTGCAAAAGGCGAGACAAAAGTCTGAAAGTAAGTTGAGTCCTTAAATTATTTTTAAAAAATGAACATATATTTTTTCTTTTTGGTGACAAATTTTCTTTTCTTGTCTAATTAGACACATTGATTTAGTGTTTTTTTTTCTTTTATGGTAATGCAGACTTTTAGGGGATAATACATAATCAATCCATAAACTTTGACCCAATTGCAATATGGTCCCTTAATTTTTAATTTGTTCAGTGTAGTCCGTGTACTCTAGCCTAATGTTCAATGCGATCCATGAACAATAGGTTCATTGTAGTCCATGAACTATATGAAAATATTCAATGTAGTCCCTGAACTTGAATTAATGGGAAGGACTACCTACATTAGTTCATAGACTAAATTGAACATGTATTAAATGTTTATAGACAATATTGAATAAATTAAAAGTTCAGAGATCACGTCGCACTTTGAGCCAAAGCCTATGAATTATTTGCGCCATTTTCCCCAATTTTTTTTTATCTGATTTCGATAGGTTAATATCCGGCTTGCGTGCCACGTGGCAGTAATATTGGGTGGGGGGAGACCAGGCACCGAATCGCAATTAATTTGGAAATGGGATTAATTAGATTGATTTAATAAGGAAAGTCGAATGCAAAAATAAAATGAAATATAAATTAAAAAAAAAAGAGGGGATCATTTCCTCTGCCCTCCTCCTGCTTGTCTCGCTCCCTCCACTCTGCAACTACCTCCCCCTCCTCTCTCTATAGCGCGCGCTCTTTCTCTCTCTAGCTCTCTCTTCCTCGTTGCCTCATCTCTTCTTCTTCACCAGCGCTGCTAAATCTCTCTCTCTCTGAATTTCCGTTTTCCGTCGCCCATGACGGAAGAGAAGGGCGTGCTGGTGTGCCGCGGCATCCCGGGCCTTGAGGCCGCGGCGGCGGCGGCGGCGGCGGAGGAGGAGGGGCCGCCGCGGGCCGCCATTGTGGCGCCGGTCGCGGCTGTGCCTGAGGGCCGGGAATTCGGGCGGCGGCGGCGGCGGCGGTTTTGGTGGGTTCGCCTCGCTCTCGGTGGCGGAGAAGAAGGAGCGGCGGAGGAGGGACTGCGAGCCGACGGCGGCCCAGCTGCTGAAGCACCCGCTGGCGACGGTGGCTTACGTGCCGAGGGACGTGGCGCTGTTCATCGCCGGGGCCATCGCGGGTGCCGCCGCGAAGACCGTCACGGCTCCGCTCGACCGCATTAAGCTTCTTATGCAGGTGCGGCGCTGCTTTTGCTTTTTTCTGCTTCTATTGATTTTGGCGGGCTTCAAGTTTAGTGGCATTTCCTTCGTTTCAGGAGGATAGTTTATGTTTTGATTCGAGGAAAGCGATGTGACTGCTGATTATTTGAATTTCGGATTGGTATAGGGGAACGAGCTACGTTAGCTATGGAAATCGAAAAACTATAATCTTCAAATGTTGTTCTTGCTTTTTCGTTACTGATCTACGTTCTTCTTGATATCTACGGGTTATCGCGCAATCGATTGGTTGTAGTGAATTCTGCTGCTGTTACGCCGCGGCCTTGAGAAATGATGTGTTTGGAGAATATGTTGCTGGACTGCGTATGGGAATGATTCTCTTCCTTGGGATATTTATGCGACAAAACCGGGTTGTGAGGAATAATTTAACAAATGCAGGCCGTGGTCGTTTGGATTTTTGGATTGATTGCCTTGATTTTTTTCATTTAGGGTCGTCCTCATGAGTGTTTGTTCCTTTGGAGTGGAGAATGGATGTTTCTTCTGGCCATATCAGATGCTTTGACCGGAAGTGTTGGAATTGTCTCTTTGTTGTGCTTGCTCTTTGAGTATCACTTATTCATAAGGGTAGTTTTCTTGAATCGGGGCTCACTAGACTCTTAGAGTGAATGATTTTGCTGCCTTTGACAGACTCACGGGGTGCGAGTTGGACAAGAAAGTGCGAAGAAGGTTATTGGTTTTTCCGAGGTACGATATGCTCCATCAAACACATGCTGATCAAAAGTTAACAATTTCATATGGCTGAAATCTTTTTCCTGATCTTTTAATCTTGATAAGTTGGAAAAGGAGTTATTTCATTTGGAGTAAAAGGGATACTCGCTCTTACTTCAATTAACCAACTTGTTTGTGAATTGTTCTCGTGGACTTCCCTTCTAGTACTACTCTATTCTAAGCACCGCATAAAAACTCTGTCAAATTCTTTCACTGGAATATTAAGATGAGATTTTATTCAACAAAATTTAGGTATTCCATCTTGTGAAATTGCACCATAGAACTTTTTGGTGGTTGGTCAAAATAATTGCACGCTGAAGATAAAATAAGAAGGTGTTTTGGCCCAAAAAACCAATGATTCATGGAAATTTGAATAAGTAGAATTTGCTACTTCTCCTGGACTTTTGTACACGTATATTTGATCCAACATTGTCTGTGGAAATCTTTCCTTTTCCTTTCCCATCCATTACCCAGTAGAAATCCAATATGTTTGAATGCAGGCCATCACGATGATAGGCAAAGAAGAAGGAATGAAAGGTTACTGGAAGGGCAACCTCCCGCAGGTTTGTTGACTTTATAACTCACTATTGGTTCACAAAATCCTAGTTTTGCGTACATAATGCCCATGTCTTTTATGTTCCAGGTGATAAGAATCATTCCATACAGCGCCGTCCAACTTTTTGCTTATGAATTTTACAAGGTACGTATGAAGCCATCTCGTTTTACCCCTTCCCAAAATCAGCGATGGAGAAGTTAGTGCATACCGCATGACACTCATGTTATAATTTTTTGGTTCTTGGAATAGTAGAAACTCTTTAAGGGAAAAGATGGTGAACTCTCTGTTGTTGGAAGACTAATGGCTGGTGCTTGTGCTGGCATGACTTCTACCTTTGTAAGTATACAGAGCCTCAAGAAAAGCTGGGGTTTATTGGGAGTTTTTGAAAGTTATAAACTGTCTTTCCAGTAAAGGTTCTGTTCCTGTCACTATTAATAATGAACAAAATGTAGGTTCTCTTCATTTTTTTTATGTGACAAAATCAGTGTAAGAACATCTATCTACTCCTCCCATGTAGGTCACCTACCCATTGGATGTCCTACGTTTGCGCTTAGCAGTGGAACCTGGACATAGGACGATGTCACAGGTATAATCAATCTCTTTGATTCATACAATTCAGATTGCAGAGTTTGCCTCTCATTACAGATGTTGGTTGATTCCTTTTCTTTCTTTTCTCTAAGGTCGCCCTGAGCATGCTGAAAGAGGAAGGGTTGGCATCATTTTACAAAGGTCTAGGACCTGCTCTAATAGGAATAGCTCCTTACATTGCAGTGAACTTCTGCATGTTTGATTTGTGAGTGCTCTCATGTTGCTCTTATATTCTGTTGAATTATGCATCCTCCACGTATGCCAGATCGAGATGATACTTTTGATGGATGACAGGATAAAAAAGGCATTGCCAGAGGAATATCAAAAGAGAACTGAAGCATCTCTTGTAACAGCATTGCTCTCAGCCAGCCTTGCCACACTAACGTGTTATCCCCTAGACACCATCAGAAGACAGATGCAGATGAAGGGTGCCCCTTACAAGACAGTTTTGGATGCTTTTCCAGGTGATTTGATCCTGGCAGTTTGTTATCACCACTGAGTTCTCAGCATCAGAGCAACATCACTAACAAGATAAATACAGTCGCAGATCAGAGTACTTGATTGCTAATAAGGATGTTGCACCAGTGATAATGAATGTCATTACAAATATGATGCCTTCTTTTTTGATATCTTAGTTACGATGTCATGTGAGGGATTGTATGCTTTCCCCTGGTCACAATATCAGAATCTGCATTTGGCTTCTCGTGGATTGAATGACATGATTAAGGACTTGATATAGCATACTTTGAGCTCAGATTCATTCGTGGGGTTTTTGATTATTCATGCTTTCAAGAGATTTTTACTGTGTAATTTAGTTTTTCTGTGTCGTCTAGTAGCATCTGTATTATTTCTGCAAGCACTTGTGCATTTGCTTTCTTATTAGAATATTGATTCGCTTCTTCAAGCAGGTATTATTGAACGGGATGGAGTGATTGGCTTATATCGAGGATTTTTGCCAAACGCATTGAAAACATTACCAAACAGCAGGTTACTGTGATTCCTCTTGCCTCCTCCTCTACCTGAATTCCTGATCAGAGTTTCTCCTCCATTGTGTTTTGTGAAATCTGGGACTAAGGACATACATACAATTTCATTGTTATTGTCAAGTTTTCAGCTTTCTTGGCCTTATTTGGCTGGCCTATAAATGATGATAACTTCATGAAACTATCAACTGGAGTTTTATTAGAATCTTAACCGTCTGTTCTTTGATTCTTCTGGAAACCCCATTATCTTGAGATAATTTCTCAAATCTGTGAGGAGATGTAGAGAAATTAAAGTGATATTCTTTGATGGAATCATTTGCGCCCTTTTTTTTGTTTGTGTTGTTGTTTTGATTTTCCTTTCTGTTGTCTAGAAGATAGCTATATGAAGTTCCAAGGGGTAATTATTTCAAGTGTCGGCTGCTTCTCCTTTGTCTTAGTTGTTCCCCCACTCCTATGAACCCAACCCAAGTTTTTGGTTGCAGCCATTTTTCATTTAGGTACTAATCATGTTTCCTTCTTTTTGGAATGTTCTGGTGCCCTCTCAGCACTTTTAGTGTGCATATATCAATCTTTTGCCGGACCTGGGAAATTGCAAGACTCGTCAAGTTGTCATACATATGTACATTGTATAAACCTACTCGCTTGCATGCATACTTATGACGATACGCTAAATCTCCATTTGCATAACACCGAACACATTTGCCCATCTTGCCTTGTTGCAGCATTCGGCTTACGACATTCGACACGGTCAAACGCTTGATTGCTGCCAGCGAAAAAGAGCTCGAGAGGATTATGGAGGAAAACCGCCAGAAACAAAATGGAGCAGCTGCCGACATTTGATCCAATTCTTTCAGTCATTATTATATCTTCTTTTTCGTCAAGATATCGATTTTTGCCAGCATATGTATCAAGTGGGGGCCGTGTCTATTGTTCACAACCTGGCTTTCTCGCTCGGGGATGAATCAGATGATCCAACGGTTGCTGAATCTTTGGCATGACCCTGAGGGGTCCTTTAGAAGCCATCATTCAAGCTGGTCGCCGTGCAATTTTTTCTCTTCTTTTTAGCTTCGGGATCTAGCATCGGCTGGGCTTAGTTTGGAATTTACCAGTCATTATGGCTCTGTAGTATACTCATTATCTTAGAACCCAGCTTCATTCATGGGCTACTACTTGCAGGTCAGTCCCGCGTCCCCCCCTTACCTCTGCTCGGACGCAATTAGAGTTTCTGTCGATGCTACAGTTTCGAAGACGCCATACTTTCTGTGATGATGATTGGCACATCTGTACTAATTTGAACTAGTTCAACTGGCCAGTTCAATTTTGAAAACGCGATTTGCAGGCTGATGCGTTAATATGCTAATTTTCGCCGTACCTGATTTTGTATTAGAATTCCGTAAAAATGCATTTGTGTAATTACACAATTGTTAGGAGGACCTTGGTCGGCAACATCTTTTTATTTTTATTTTTCTCGAAAAAATTTCAAATAGAAGCCTCATTTATTAAAAAAAAAAGTCAATAGAGTGGGTCTTGTTTCAAATAAAACTCTCGAGTAGCTCATTGGCCGACCAAATTTTCGCCAGCAAAGAGCACATGCGTGCCATATTTCTAGCCATGGCCCGAGGCATTTTCGTTTGGGGTATCTCATTGTGTCGGTTAGTTGGGAGCGTGTTTTAAGACTAAATTGCCCGCGAGCACCATTAAACAATCTCCACTCGAGGGACCTCTTTTTGAGGAAAAAAAAAAAAGAACAGTTTTATAAGCCTGAAGTGTCCTTATTTTCTCAAATTTCCTTTTTGGTCAATTGATCTTTCTTAGGGAAATTTTAAATAAGGACCTGAAGTGCCCGCATTTTCTCAAATAAGGATTTGAAGTGAACTTTATGTCAAATAAAGGTCTGAAGTGGCATGTGACTCTCAAATAATGATCTGAAGTGGCGAGAGTTCTAAATAAGGACCTGACCTCGCCGATCATCAACGGGCGAAATATTCCAACCGATCAAGGGTATTTTTGTCAAAAAACCATTTTAATTTTAAATTATTTGTATTTATTTTTTCTTTTCTTTTTTCTTTATTTTTCCTTTTTCTGGTTTTCTCTCCGACCATCAGCGAAGCTCGAGAAGAGCTGCGTGAGGGCGACCCTCGCCTGCAACAGGCGCGAGATGGCCTCGTCGGCCAAGGGCGACGCCGGCCCTCGCTAGATTGGGGCGAGGGTCGCCCCCGACAGTTGCCGGCGAGGGACGGCCTCGCCCAGGGCGAGGTTGCCTCCCCCATGGCTGCCCTCGCCCAGGTCTGGCGAGGCCGACCCTCGCCTGTTGTCGGCGAGGCGACCCTCGCCAAGGGTGAGGGTCGCCTCGCGTAGGCGATGCCGTCCCTCGCCTGTTGCCGGTAAGGTGGCCTCACCAGATCGGGCTGGGCAAGGGTCGCCCAGCCCTTTCTAGGTTAAGCTCTTATTTAAAATAAAATTCACTTTTAGATGTTTATATGAAAAAATGAGAGCATTTTAAATTTTTGTTTGACATAAAATTTATTTCATGTGTTTATTTGAGAAAATGAGGGCACTTTCTTTGTGCCCTTATTCGAATTTCCCTTCTTTCTTATGGGCGGAACAGATAACATCGTCATCTCCTTCTACGTTCTCCGGAGGACAGGAGTCGCATGTCGCAAGCGGTGCACCTCTCGTTCCCGCACCGCGCCTTCCTCTCCTGCCCACCCCGTCGCCGGAGAAGAAGTAGCCGAGATGGACCCCGCTCCCCTCGCGGAGGCTCTCCGCGCGCCGCGCGGCACGACGACGCCTCCATTCCCAGGTGAAAATCTCGGGAACCACCCCCCGCTTCCTTCCCTTCCCCCCCACGCATTTTGTTCGACGTGCCTGTGATCGGTAGCGATGCGCCGTTGTTTCGTTCCTGCTTGTCGCGAATCGTGACGGCGTGGGCTGTTCTTCTTCTGGAGCAGGTGCGAGGGTGCGTCTCCCGTGGTTTTGGTGGAGCGATACGGCGACGGCACTGCCAAGAGGTCTTCTTCTTCCCCTGATCGTATCTCGTTGTTCTTCTTCGGGAAATGAACGCTGGAATTAAAGACTGAGCTCGATGAGTTTCGGCTTGTTTGACCGATTACACACCCTTGCATCATTCGTCACAGTGAATTGGTCGCTCTGTAGAGCTCTCTGAGATGTGACAGAGCGAAACATAGTCGAGATTAGGTTGATCGCTCAGTGGAAGAAAACAATGCGCTTCTGCTCCTTATGTTTCACCGAAACGATCGTTTTGGAAAACATTTTCCCAAAAATAATTCCCTGTGTCGTTTAAAAAAACGAATGAATGAAAATATTTAGATATAAATTGTTGTCAATAATGAAAATATTTTATATTGATTAATTATTTCAATGTAAAATCATTCATTTTCCGCGAAACAATGGCAGCCTTCAAGTTCTGCCATGGAGCCTACCGTCTGGCACTTGTGCATATCTCTTTGTATGTTGTGCTGGTGTTTAGGTTTCTATTGCCTGACCATGTTCCTGTGCTTATTTTTGGACTTTCTATTTGCCCTGCATGTCTTCAAACCTCAATGTCCAGCTCATTCGATGCCATTTGGGGTCTAAACTCTGAGGCACAAACAGTATGCACGTATGAGTTGTTGCTGATGTCCTCCTCTTTGCTGTTAGTTGAAAGTGATCCACAATTTAATAAATGAAGGAGGAAAAGAATGTTGTTCTTGATTTTGTTTTTATATTTGTATGTAATGATCATGTTTTTTTGTCAGAAATAAATTAACAGCTTCGCTGGCGAGTTAATGTGGTTCTCGCATTTCGACTTTTGTTTTACTCTTCTCGTGTATGCAGGTATACATTACATGACAACTCACTGTCGAAAATTTCTCTTGAAAAACATATACCAGAAGAAAATAAGGACACACATTTTGCTGACCCAAAATTAGCGTTGCTCCCTGATTCTGTAAAAGATTTTATATTGCCCTCAGGCTTTCCAGGTGAGCAGCATCTGTTGTCTGGGTTAAGATTTCAATTTTCAAGCTTTCTGCTTTTGGTGGTTTTTGTGTCTTTTAGTCTTTACTATGTTTCGTTTTGTATGCTTTCTCATGTTCCTTGCAGAATCAGTTTCAGATGATTATTTGCAGTATATGTTGTTACAGTTTCCCACAAACGTCACTGGATGGATTTGTCATGCGCTGGTCACCTCCAGTCTCCTAAAGGCATGTCACTGTCAGCTGTCAAGCCTAATATACTGCTTTATATTCAATATGTTGTATTAATGTGTAGTTTCGGCCATTATTCAGTTCTGTATAAAGGATTTTCGTGCCAGAAAACTTGGAATTGAGTACTTGTCATGCGATAGATTCTGGCTAAGAACATTATTAACTTGTAGCACAATAGTGCAGGCTGTTGGTATTGGCTCTTTCTCAGGCAGTACCGCTGCTGCTTCTGCTGCTGCCATTAGGTAACATTTACTCTCTCTCTCTCTCTCTCTCTCTCTCTCTCTCTCTCTCTCTCTCTCTCTCTCTCACACACACACACACACACACACACGGTCGTGCGCGCGAGCAACATAGACGTGTGCATTAGGATACATACACACAGACATAAAAAGCATGCAGCAATGGACACAGACATGGTTATATACGAATAATCGAATAATCCATTTGTAGGAATGAGCTCTGCTTCTTTATCTGTTAATCAGATGGGTGTCAAAGGATGGCATTGGAGCTGTTGGCCGTTTACTTATTGGTTTGTATATCCTGAATATAGATTGAGGGTAGAATTTGTTTCCACTGTAATCTGCGGTAATAGGTGTTAATTTTCCAGGTGGCCGGTTTGGGAACGTCTTTGATGATGATCCGAAACAGTGGCGCATGTATGCAGACTTTATTGGCAGTGCTGGAAGGTATTGTTTGCTGTATTGGGTGTCAGTTATTTGGATATCAATTTTTGGTTGTTATGAGAAGACACTCTTAAATTCGTGCAGCATCTTTGATCTGACAACTCAATTGTATCCTGCCTATTTCTTACCGCTCGCATCTCTTGGGAATCTTGCCAAGGTAAATAATAGCTTAAGCTTGCTGCAAATTTCTTTTCCAAAAGGAATAGGGCTGTCACTATGATTTAATTACTCTGCTGTAAATAAGCTTTCATTCCTTCGGTGCATCATTTATTTATGTACCGTGAGCTATCTGAAATATTCCAGAGTAGGTATGGCAGAGATTTGGTGAGACTTGAGACACAGTACTCTTGAGTATTGAATGTTGTAGATAAGCTTTCAATCATACTTTTACATTGACTGAATTTTGGCACGAAACGATAATAAGTTTCAAATTCAAAGAACCTCACGCTTGATTAAAGTTTTCATCTTACGTATCGACATATAGTGAAACTCATTTAAATAGAAGTTGGGACCATAGATGAGGGAAGGTCAATGGCTTTTAAGGATTAGATGTTTAGAATCATTTGTTTCTCGTGAGTAGCCAGTGTTTTTTCAATGTTCAATCTGCTCACAGTAAACTACTTCTTTGGTGTACTGAACTGAATCTTTTGTACATTCGCATTATTCAGTGCTACCCATGAATTATCTGGTGATAGTTCATTCACAATTAGGTAGGAGTATATTTGATGGTATTTGACAGCGAAGATTGATTAGGTAGCTGAGCCTCTATATGCAGAATGGAGAAAGCCCTTGAAATAGAACTTGACCGTGAGCTAGAATGCTATCAGTTAAGTGTAAGTGGAAGAGAGGGTTGAATTGGCCGTCTTGACGTAGATAGTTAAAAGAAAATATCAGTAGCATGAAGAAGACAGTTTGGAAGCAAAAGAGATGGCTAGCATGATTGGAAAGGAGTAAATTCTGACAAAAAAATATATTGTATCTTTGTTGAATATCATGCTCTTCAGAATTTAATTTAAACAGTCGAGTTAAGCGGAAGAAGAAAAGGAAAAGGATGTTGGCTTTTCTTGTCCTTGCTTAGTGGACTCTTGGATGGTTCGTTCTTTTTCTTGCCTTTTTTGGTGGTGGTAAGGGGCTGGATCCCTAATGTTTCTAAAAATCAGAAAAAAATTCGGAGTGCCAACTCAACTCTGCTCCTTTAAGATTAAAGCAACGGTGCATAAATACATACGATGACAAAAAAAACCGGGCTTCCATGCAGTGGTATGAAGAGTTGTATTGGCTCTCCACATGCTTTACCTTGCGCTTGGTATTAATTTTGTGAAGGAATTTGATTGCATTTTTCCATCTATATACACATATGACTGGACCGCTTCTCCGACTGTTAAAGATTTTGTGCTTGTTGCCATAGTCAATCTAATTTTTCTTCATTTGCTGAAACATCATATGAACAGGCTGTTGCGAGTGGGTTAAAAGATCCTTCCTTCCGTGTAATTCAGAACCATTTTGCAACCTCTGGAAATCTGGGTGAAGTAGCAGCCAAGGTACATCTGCCACAGTGCTGCTGCATACGTCAGTGCACATGATAATGCAAATTTGAGATTGTGATCTTGGTGTTTCATTGTCATTCCTTATCTGTTCCATTCTTAAAGCATCTATTCTAATATTGTCCTTCTGTCAAGACAAATTTTTTCCTCATCTGATGATGGATTTTACACAAATAGCTTATCGACAAGGTTAGGTACACTGAGATTTGATCATTTTATGAAAATCTTATCCATGGATACCTAACCGGTGCTAAGATCAGCCTAGCAGGCTGTCACCATCAGGCTAGGCGGGGCTGAGGGAGAAATGGATGAGCAGAACCCATAATTCACAAGAATCTCAATCTTCTGTTAAACCTTACTCAAGTTGTCTTTGTGCTTCCTGACAAGTCCCGAGTGTTTTGAAACCTTAGCAGAGCACTTTGCTTTTTCCGGAAGCTTCATAAACAAGTAGCAGTAGTAATGAGCAAATTGTTGATCTGATTTGCATGACATGGAGAACATGTTTCCTGTGGAAATGATGTTATAGCTCACCTAGTAATGCATCTTGTAAAGGATTCAGAAAAAAGAGCTTTAACCTACTACTTTTATGAGATGTTGGATGCATCTTCGATTCTGTTTTTCTTGTCGTTGATTGACATGTGAACAAATTTTTTTCTGCATTGCTCTGTGGTAGCATGAAAAGCAATATTACTTCAATTTATCATCATCTATATTACGCTCTATTTGTTTTCTATTCTCCTGAGTAGTGAGTGTCAATATGGAGGCTTATGCTCGCATAACTAAATAGTAGGTGCTTGTCTAATGAAAGCAGCTAGCTGCACACTGTCTAGAATCATATTTATCAATCTTTTCAGGAAGCATTTTACTCAAAAGAAAGGGCCAGGAAAAACCTAGTCTTAGATTGTCCCTTTGATCTTCTGCGAAGGCCATCTTTTCTGCTTTTCCTGATGACCAATTTGTAGAATGTTTTCAGGAGGAAGTTTGGGAAGTAGCTGCTCAATTGCTTGGTCTAGCAATAGGGATACTTATTTTGGTAAGTCATCTGCTTTTCTAAAGGTGATGTCCAATTTCTCTAATCTAGGAATGTATTGTACATGAAAGAATCATCATATCATGTTGATTTGCAATTACTGATGCAGGATACACCTGGTCTTGTTAAATCTTATCCGTCTTTGGCATTGACTTGGATGAGCGTGAGACTTGTTCACCTTTGGTTACGATATCAGTCTCTCTCGGTGTTGAAGTTCGATACGGTACGTTCACACCTGTCATTGACCACCATGAGAAAGAGAAGGCTAGGAATGATAATTGTTTTTGGGTTAATAAAACACCCTTTCGAGATTCTATGCTATTCTTCCACGTTTCTCGATGACCTGGCTTTCTGCTGGTTAGATAGAATTAGACAAAGGTAGGATAATAGTAGCAGATAGATTTTTATAATCATTAATTTCTTCACTGATGATTTAATGCGATCATTTTGGCAGATAAATCTCAAGCGTGCTCGAATACTTGTAAAATCACATGTGTTAAGCTCAAAAGTTCCTGGTAAATTCATACACATTTCAGGTTTTTGCGATTCTCATTCTTCTTCAGTTGATCAGTCGTTATGCCTAATTGTCTTAGGATGTGATGAATGCAATGAGACTGAAAATATTCTCGTTTGGCAAAGATTTTTGAAGCCTTACATACGTTTTGGTGTGCCATTTGAAGAGATGATGAGTGGCAAGAAGGCTAGTTCTCAGGTATGCAGAATTAATGGCCTCATATGGTAAAAGTCTATTTCCTATTACATCAAGTATTGAGGGAACTTTTGGACACAACCGGCTGGGGTCCTGATTTGCATCCCATCAAACCAGGTTGCATATTTAAGCTGAATAATAATGATTTTTCTTGCTTTTTTTGGCCAAAATGAGAAACGACTTTTTTATTTGAGGAACACATACAGTATTATGGAAGTCACAGTTTTGTGCTCAAACAAGTCGGTTTTTAATTAGTTTATCATTACTTATTATGCTTCTGAAGGGATGTTAGATAGATCAAATGGTGACCATTGCTCAATCGGTAATGTATCACTGTTTTCTTTATTGAACTTGGATGAGCTTGTCATTAACTTTAAATGATCGTGCACAAATATTATCTTGGCCAGCTGAAGCGAACTTCTTCAATCCCAATTCTCAAGTTGATTTCTTAAAACAACAAAGCTGCTTATTTTGGCGCGCCCCCGCCCCCCACACCCCCCAAACCAAGAATCAGTTCTTAATTGGCTGGAAAACATATATGCTAAAACATCTTTTTTGCCCCCTTAGGTGAGCGAACTTTTGAAACTATATGGAAAGGAGGAATACATTCTTAGTGTAAATCCAAGCTATGAAGACTTTGAGATCTTCATTGTATTTAAGGTATGGCTTTTTAACTTAAGCAATGGAGCCAGATATGATGTAATTTCATGTATTGCATCGTTTTTTCTCTAATATAATCTCCTCTAATCAGGTCGGAGCTACAAGTTCATCGGTGTTGCGGGGTCTCTGGCAAGCTAATTGGCTGCATGAGAATTGGGACAATGCGTCCGATATATACTATCAGCTGGCTTTGAGCCTTTCCGAGATGGAAAAGAGGTTCGACGATTTTCTGCAGCAGTTGGATGAAGCTGGTTGGGATAGACGCAATATAACTCTGAAGGTTCCGAAAGAAATCTTGATTGATCAGATTTCTGCAATATGATGGATCTCACATAACTGTAAACGCTGGTCCAGCAGAACAAGCCCTTGAACAAGTCATAACCTCGGAGTCATCGGGTTGGCGATCTATATGGTCACAACCAGAAATTTTGCGGCTCTTGCCTAATCCAAGCTGCTGCAAGTAGTTTCTGATTCTGACCTTCTATTACATGGGAGGAGGAAAGTATTCAGTCGTCTCTATATAGAGAGTGGAATTTTGTTAGGATGTTCGTGTCTGTGTCCAACGCTACCTACTTTGACAAGGCAACTAAACAAGGAAAAGAAATACGACCGACTCAGGGAATGTTCGTCTCCAAGAGGGTCGGAGTCTCTACGTGGACGAGATTATAACCGCATCACGGTAAATTTTAGCAATCACTTGCTCGGTGGAGTTTGTGAAATCATCAATAGTTGAACTTTGATCATTCCTTCTATACAGTTCTCTCTATGAAAGCCGATGTGGTGTGGTGTTTTTCATTTCGGTGAACAAGGGCCGATGCGACGGTCATCCACCATTCCCCTTGTAATGATTGATAAGGGTGTAATGTAATTTTAGCACGACTATCATGTGTTGATGCTATGATCTAAGGGCCGGCACTATTTGATGGAGTGACCCTCTGGCGAGTCGTCGTCATATGCCGGCACGACCCTCAGGCAAGGGTTTTTGTTGGCGGATTACACCAAATGCCCAAGGTTCACGGTCTCGGGCGAGGCCAATCCTTTCTCAGGGTAGCGATTATCCTCACAAGAATGGCCGCGACCAAGACCCCTCAGCTGAGGTTTTGCGGGGCATGCTGGTTAAGACTCATTCTGAACGCAACAGAGGCCAAGTTTGATGCAAAAATGTACAAAGTTGGTGCACCTCTCTAATTAAGTTGTAGGGTCGGGGTAGAAATAAAATGTCGCAAGTTGGTGGTGGCCTGTTTTTAATGGGAAGATAAGCCTCTCGTCTTTCTTTTTTTTTTTTTTTGTTCTAATTATTTTGGTTTCAGCGATTGCACTTCAATTCCTAAGTAGCTAAGACGACCGTTCATCGTGCTTCATTTTTATTAAATTCATGTGATGACAACCAACTTTGCAAATCTGCGATGAACATGATTTCAACCTAAAGTCAAAAGTGATGACCTAACAAAAGCAACACCATTGCCACGTTCATGACCATCCTATCTCCTTGTCCTCACCAGGGCTAAAAGGAAGTCCGGGGGCGGGATGAGGCACCGATCCCTTGTCGTTATCAGGTCATAGTCACGTTCGTTTCGACAGGACCCCTGCACAAAATGTCATAAACATACGGGAATTCGGAAGATTTATGATCAACGAACGAGATCTACTCTTGTTTCAATCTGAGTGATCGCCGCATCTTTGAGAATTGGAATCACAGAAAACCCCGCACCGATGAAAGCAAGCATCTTCCCTTCCTTTTGAGAAGACAAAAGGCCAAATTCCCCATCCAAAAGGGGACCTAAATCTCACTCTATCTCCAATGCCCCCTTGATCAAAAGACAATGCACATTATCACATAATTAATTGCACACAACATCTCTTCCAATGATCCCACTTTGCATAAAGAACACGCAAACCTAATGAAGTGGGGAGTGCGCAAGGGATACTTTAATTTCTTGATTGGTGCGCTAACTAAAACTAACATTAAACCCAAATTATAATTATAATCTTGGATCACCCGAGAACTAATATTTTATGAATCAAATTCATAGGTTAATTCATAGGCCCATCGTCAATCTTTTATGGTGGTAGTAGTTGCTTGGCAGTTAGCTTAACTTCGTTGTTCTTCCAAAGCATCCATACTCAGATACGGTATTCGGATAATGTCCAAGGATAAAGTAATTCGTGTCATTTCCGAAATATTTCAATGTAATTTTCAAAAGGGTCGTGTGTGTGTTTTTTATTTATCGGATAATTCTCAGTTTTCCGGACTTCGATTGCATACATGTTGTCGATTGTCAAACATCGTGTACGAATTTATTTTTCATTTTTGCGTTTTGATTAAATAAAAGCTGACAAAAACAGAATTTAGGCTCCGTTTGTCTCGCGGAAGATAAATGATTTGGAAAATATTTTCCTAAAAACGATTCCTTATATCTCTTGAAATAATTAGTCAATTAAAAATGCTTTCATTGTCGTTGGCAATTAATGTCTAAACATTTTCATGGACGATGAAACTTTTTTTTGTTCATTCATTTTTATTAGCAATATAAACGATTATTTTTAGAAAAATATTTTTCAAATTATCAGACAAACAGAGTCTTAATACCTATTTCGGATAATCCCACATATTTTTTTTATAAAAAAATTAGCAGATAGGGAGTGTGTCGGTCCTGCAAGCAAATGGTTGCTTCGCACACCACAAAACAGGCCGAAGTGGTTATCCTTGTTTCCTCATCATCTTCTTTGGTTGGTTGGAATGTCCTTGTCAAAAATAAATAAATAAAGCAGCAAAAAGAAATAAAGAATTGGGTAATTTAATCTGCTTTTGATTGCACGAATTAGATTCTTAATTCTGATTTTAATATTATATATTTGGCCTTATTGCTGGAATATAAAAAAGATAAAAAATGAAACGGTGCTCAGATATCAAGTTACTTGTGGGGGGTCAAAACAAGATTCCGTGTTGAAACACAGATTCCGTGAGATGCACAAGAACTTTTCTGGGTATAATCATAAGAATTGCTCTGCATAGACAGGAAACAAATAGGAAAAGAAAATTAAATTATTAATTAGAATTAGGAAAATTTACAAAATCCCTGTAAATTTTGAGATCAGTACGCGTTCGCCCCGAACTTTCAACTATTGGACAATATCCTTCGAGCTCTCTCATTTTTGTTACAGCGTTGGTTACGTTATTTTGTCCATTAGCATGTGGATGTATGTGACTTTTAAGGGGGTGAAAATATATTTTCTTCTCATTTTTGAAGGAAATCTTGTTTATTTTTACCTCTAATTGCCGTAAAATGGAAACTTAGCATCATAAGAAACTAAATAAACTGAAATACTACTAATAGGAAAAAATGAATTTCGATAAAAAAAATTTGTTGAAATTTGATACATTGGCCACTCTAATAGAACGAAAAAGATATTTTAAGAAAGAGATAAGCACAAATTCAATAAAAAAAAAGGGAAAAGGCCTCAATTACAAGAAGGTTAATGACATAAACTGATTACTCATTCTGCATATTTAGAGGGTTAATTAATGTATTCTACTTGATTGATAGAAATAGTTTTAGAAAAATTATAAAAGGAAATGATATCCTCGACTAATTAAAAAGTATTCATAGAAATCTAAGGTGATATTTTTATTTTATATTTTTACAAATTGTTTTTTTCATTAATTGACCATTTAAAAGTACATAATTCCATATCCATTTTTTGTAATTTGACATTTTGTTATTGAGCCATTTTACATTTTACTTAATGGTTTGAACATGTACTAAAAGTTCAGGGACCACATTACACATTCAACTAAAGTTTGCGAACCACATTATAAATTGGGTCAAAGTTCATGAACTATTTGTGTTATTATCCTATATGTTAACAATTTTTTTTATTTTTTCACAATTTTATATTGACTAATTTTTTTACATTATTATTTTATTTAATTTTTTCTCCATTTTTTTTTTCATTTTATGAAAATCAAAGAACAGATAAAAATACACTCCTAAAAAGTCATGTGCATTGCACCTGCTAACGGAAAACTAACAAAGGGTCAACAGCTGTAACAAAACGAAAGCTCGGGGTTAGTATATGACGGTCGAAAGTTTAAGGAGCAAACGTTACATGGGAGTTTTGTGTAATTTTCTCTGAGAAGTATTAACCGTGTGATAATTATTATATTAAATCACATCGACACCCCATCAATTTTTCTCAAAATTACTTGGACTTCCGGTTGGATCATGAAAAATTGACCTTGAATTTACAAAACTCCACATCACCAAGGAAGAGGCACGCAAGCAAGCAGGGTCCAACTTAAATGACCCGATCCGCTTGATCAGAAATACACAAAACCCATGATGTCTAACAAAGCCAATTGGGTCTTTCCCCCTTTCAAACCATCGTTCTTCTTGTTCATCTTCAACCCCAGAATGTCTAAACCCTAACTTAAACATCTACTTCTTTCACGGCTCGATTCCCGGTTGGTCGAGCGTGATTCACCTCGTGGTCGGATCTTGATCGGTCCGGTTCGAGTTGAGCATGTTGAGTTGTGCGTGTTGGATCCTTAATCCAACATTGGGCTTATATGTAAAATAATTATGTGTTGCAGACTGTCATGTGAACTTAAGCCAATTAAAAGTGGTCTAATAAGGTAATTGGATTTTAATGTATCTGATAGGGTGTGGGCCTTTAATGTGTGGAGACTCTAGGGTAATTTCTATTTTTATGATGGGCTAAAATAGAAATACCAAAAAGAAGGGATAACAGAGAAGTTATCTATAAAAAGCGGTTATGGTCCCCAGATCACAATATCACAGAATACATAACGTATTCTTTCTCTGGCATCCATCACCAGAGAAAGAGATATCCCAGAGAAATAATAAAGGACTCTCTAGGAGAATGCGTAGATCTGGAAGGCTGTCCGCACGACTCTACAGATCAATCCCGCTATGGATTCAGGTACGCTTCCGCTAATAAATCTTACAATTCTTAATGGTTCAGCATGTACGATCTATTTAGGTTGTGATGATGTACAACATAATTAGGTTTTCTTTTCCTTACAGTGCGTGCTTTGAATCTAGTCAAAATGAAGTCAAGCTCGAGTACATATGTCAAGTTCTATGGAGCTTGAGTTGAGTTTCGAGTTTCAAATTAATGATTCTAGTCAAGCTCAAATTTGGCACTATATCGCCTCGACTCAACTCAATTGCGTCCTTAGGTATAAAGCCACTTGACCCGAGATAACAAGCAACACCAAAGTATATATGGTTGTTTTCTGTCAACTTGAAAATTTTTTATTGCCGCGTCATTCTAATTCCTGTTTTAAGTCTGTGAAAATTGTTTAACGTTTTCGACTTGCTCTAGTTACCTCGTGCCTTTTGAGTTATGGTTCAGTGCACACGATGATGTATACGTCAAGGATTTTGCTAATGAGAGTATTAGGGAGATACTTCATTTAAAACCCATTTAAGTGAATATTATAATTATCAATTCACTGTTTCTCTCATCACGTGTTACGTGTAATCACTTATTGCAAATCAAGATATAATTTCCTTCTTTAAGTACACGAGAACTCATGGTACAAACAGATCGTTTTTCATTGGTGACATGGAATTTTGTGAAATTCTAAGTAATTGTTTATGTTCTTGCTATATCTTGAAGAACTTCATTATGAACTAGCAGCATTCTATTAACCTTTCGAAACCAAAAGTGCAATTTTGAAAACGTAAGGGGTGTCCGAGTAATTATGTCAAACTTGAGAGGATGCCCAAGTAATTTCCCCTAAACATTGAAAATATGCCATAACCAATGCTTACGTGCAATCGCACTCAATTTGTAATAGATTAATGTCAATCTCTTTAAACTCACTCCTCCTCCAACCTTTTGTGCGCTTTAGATTTTGTCGTGCGACCA